ACTACTACTACTACTAGCGCTACCACTGCTGCTATTACTACTACTATTTCTCCTCCTCCTTCTCGTACTTCTACTGGTACTGGTACTTATACTGCCGTCCTCCAAGCTTCAGCCACAGAACGTGAGCAGCAGACAGATGCTGTGACATGCTTCTCTCAGGACAGGGTTGGGCTGCAGCTCTTCAGTCTACAGTGAGAAGAGTTTTCATTTTTTGTTATAGTCAGCGCAATCGCATGTCTTCACTCTTGGTGGTAATGTAAGCGTTCTGCATGGCCTTCATCAGAAGCCCAGCTGTGGCGCGAATGCCCTGTGAAGCTGCACCGCGAGGTTGCCTTGCATCCATTTCGAGTCAGAGGTCACGAGGCGACTGCGTAGAGGTAATTGAAGATTTTGCGGGCTTGGTTCTTTAGGATTTGTCCACGGGAGTTCAGACGATCATATAGGTTCCTGACATCGCGTCGGACGGTTCCGCGGCTGTCGATTTAGAACGGTGCTGATTTTGGACCAAATCGCTCTCTCGCCACAGTCTTGTGCAGGCCCGTACACCTGAGACCCCGCCTTCATTGCTCAATGCAGCACCTCAGCACACTTCTCCACTTGCCAGAATGTGTGCGTGATTGTGCGTGTTTGTCTACAGGGACACTCGTATTCTGGCTGAGCAGTCGGTGCAGGGCCAAACTCTACAGCATTGCGGGCTTTTCGGTATGGTCAGGAAAATTCATGGAATTTTGCCGTTTGCGGGATTCGGACGTGTTGCTCCCTCTGCACGTTTGCACAATTTGCGCTTCGTGAATTCCGCATGTGTTCTGGAATGGCTGACTTTCTGGCCTTAGACCCCGCTAGAGTGGGCCGTCGCACTCTCATCACAATGCCGCGAGCATGTTGAATTTCTCTTCCATTCTCCGTTTGGTAACTACACATGTCGCAGGTCTTGGGACAGGAGGGGTGAAGCCGTGCAGTGTCTGCATCAGCCGCTTGCTGGAAGTTCTAAGGCCCATGGGTTTTCCAAGGATACCGCTGTTTGCCGCTTTTCAGGATGCTGATCTGCCGACACCGCGACAAGTCCGGAAGGTTGGCAACTGCACGGGCAGGGGGGCTTGGGGGGGCGCAGTAGCAGGTAGAAGGGCATGCAGCACTGCTGTTGGCTTCAGTGCAGATGCGCGTGTGTGTGTGTGTGTGCGCGCACTGTCTGCGCATCTGCGCATGCATGCGAGACGTATAGGACTGCAGGGTTTTCTGTTCTCCTGATCCAGATACATGTCTGGCAGAAAGGCTCCGCTTCTTTAGTTCCACGATCAATATCACATGTGCGGTTCTGGCCACAGCATTTGGCCAAAGAAGGGCACGAATGCAGTAGGTTCCATGTCGTCATGAGAGCGGCACGCAGAAGGTCATTTCCGCTGCTTGCTGTGCTGCTGTTGCAGCACATACTGTGCTTCGGGCCATCGTTTCTCGCTGCAGGCAGTGTGGCGAGACACCGGCAGCCGAACCAATCCCGATTTAAACTGGCACCGGAACATGCTTGCACTGCTTTGGCGTATTCGCGGCTGCACCGCAGACAGAGCTTTGACGCTGGGGCCGAAACCTGCAAGACTTTACATGCCGCGGCAGCTTTCTACCTCGTTGGCACCCTTGCGAAGCTCGGCATCAGCTATCGTGCTGTTCAAGTCGAGTTTTGGCTCCCCTGCAGTACAAGTCAGCATGAGCAGCTAGTTTTTACGGTAATCATGCGGCCTCACATTCTACGGTGCTGCAGGGGACATCTTAGATCAGTTCTTAGATCTGCACTTCGAGCTCATTCAGAAAAAGTCATGTCATAGGCATGGTAATCACTGCAACAGCTGAGAGACACCAAGGAGCCTTTGGCAGAAACCTACGAGATGCACAGCCAGATTGGCATCCTTGTGTGTCTTGTTGGGTGCGCTTCCCAACGTCTTGGCGACAGAGGAGGAGCAGAATATCAGATCTCTATTGAGGTAGCTTATGGCCGTATATGTGAGCTGTGTATGGAATATCGACATGAAATTGAGCAGTTGGAGACATGTTGTTGGACAAGTTCAGCTGCGGCATTCATTCAAGTCTTGCGTCAAGTGACGAAAGATTCCAAGCCCTAGTGCTGTGTCACAGCCAGCCAAGACTCAATCCCAGTGAGCTGGTTTGGTCGCCCATCGATTTTCTAAAACGCACCCGAAGTATACACAAGGTATGCCGCAGTCTGCTGATTTTTAAGAGCCATCGGTTGTGTTCGCGAGCGTGTTGCGGAAAGAGGATGTAAAGACATAAGCCTCCGCACGCCAGGAGCTACTAGGTGTCATGAATCGCATCTCATGCACGGCTTATTGGTCAAACACCGGCGGGCGGAGGCACAATTTCGCCGCACATGTGTTGCACATCACTGCCCAAAGCCGTGTAAAGAGCATGAACTCTAGGTCGATTGCAGCCATATCGTCAGACTTCTTCGAGGAATTGAGTTGCCCAATTGCATGCTTGCAGATAGCAAGCTATTTCTTTCTGCAACCACCTTCACGACAGCTCTGACAGCCCCCACCGCAACGACAGACACCTGAGATGGGAGACATCCCAAACAGCTTCCGGACTCGCATGATGAACTTAGAGCCCGAAAAACCCTGCACCGACTGAGTTCCTATACAGACTTCGTACCTCTGCATGTAGTTCCTGTAATAAGCTCAGTGTTACGCAATGTCACGCAAGCTAAAACCCAATGGCCAACGCTGCCCTAATCATGATCAGTTCCAACAGTTTAATGTAGCCTATGCCGATACGTCTAAGTCTGAAACTCCTGACGGCCCCTTAAGCGGCGAGCTGTTTCACGTGCCAGGTGGCACGTATGAGACGCTTAGAAGCGAAGGCCCGGGGCTTGCTTAGCACTGCTTCGTAATGTTTCGTAAATTATGGATCATTCATCGGATGTGAGATGCTGGCTTGGAAGTTAGGACCTTCGAAACGGCGATACAGCTGTGGCTGTTGGGTTCCGGAAGGTTTCGTATGGTGCTTCTGCACTGAGCAGACGATGTTGTTTTTTTTGTCGGGGTTGCGGGATTGCTCGAGGGAGTCCTTGAGCTGTGTTTTCGTGCTACAAGAACACTCCAACGCTGCTAGGGGTTGCACAGCTTCGCAGCATGTCAAAAATTTACAACGTCGGCTGTAGAGATGCAGCTGCCTGGCTTCAGAAGTGGATTTCGGAAGGCAGTGGTAGAATGGTAGAGTTTTGAGATTCCCGATTCACATTCTCTCGGTACTGACGATCTTTTGCATATACACCCTTGCAGTAACTTGTACACAATCTGCACAGCCCAGCGTGCACATGTTAGATACCGGCCCGCCCATGGGCTTCAGCTTCCTAAACCCCGATCTCAAGCCACAGCTCTGCATGAAACGCTTGACTCTCACATTCATACACAATCCTTTGGAATCTTGAGCCTTGGCGCTTTGCCTGCCAGTACGACTTGGACGTGATGTTGGAGGGCCAAGCGACTAACTTCAACCGCACATGGTCGGGCCCTGGCATTTTTATGGGGCACGGAGCAGGGGTTGCCAGCTGGGCTGCCGTCGACCGATCGCAATGATCTGTTCAGGATTTTTTTTGGCTTCGGGCTAGTTTAGGCAGCAGGTTCGGGCAGATAGCGTCGTCCGGGACAGAATCAAAGCCACGCCCCTCGACCACCCTCGGTGCGTAAACGAGCTATGCTACCTCGCTCCGTATGGATGGGACTGAATCGTTTGTCGACTGTACGACATATAGGAAGTTCCCCCTGCATTCTTAGAGAAAGTGGATTGGCCTTGCTCCGACCGGTGTCTGGGGAATACTTTAACTGCAAGGCAAGTTGTCGAGCATTCTTCGGCCGTAAGCCACGACAGCAACAAGTGCACTGAGACAGCACGAGTGGCTTCCGAGAGGGAACTCTGGGTGCTGTTCTTTACTTACGGTTCCAACCGTGATCGTCCGAAAAGCCGTTGCAAGTGTTCTCCTCCACGGCACAAACTTGTCAGCTGCCAGTTGCCAGCGGATTTGAGGCAGGACCCGCCTCTACTTTCCAGTCGAGCCCAAAGACATGCTCGATTCTGGAGGCACCTGTTGCAGTTGGCATACATGCTACTATGTCACCAGCTGCTAGCCTTTCTCACGACAGCAGTTGTAGAAATAGTCTCGCAAATCCGCGCGACGGTGATTGCATCATGGGCGCGAGGGTGTACCTATTCAATCCTATTCACGCTCCATCGGTGGGTCGATTTTCCAACATGAAACACAAGTTCGAGCAAAGTCAAGCGCTGCCGCACAGACAACAGCTTCGCCTTCAACCAATTCCGAATGTGTGCCCGACCATGGTCGAATATGCGTTGAATGCACTAATGATCTTGTACCATGACACCATTTATACCCTTAGCTCAGACACTAGGCAGAGGTAAAAACAGGAGCTCCGAAAGAAGGAATCGACATCGATTGTAACTTGGTAATTATGGGCGAACTTCAGGGGGACGTCACGGGCACGGTAAGTGCGAACGTGATGCGATGCGCTGTCACAAATATTAGCCAGGATGTCGAAACATCGAGACAATGTCGCCCATATTCACCAGCAGTGGAAGTAAATTGGCAAATGAGCATTGATCTAGAGGTCCTTGTGTTGGGATTTTCTAGAACGGTTTTAGCATGTAAAGCAGTGTGTCCGCGAAAGATCCGCCATGGGTCCGCGAAAGGAAAGCAATAATCCGCGAAAATTGTTATGGCCGTATAGGACTTGTAAGGTCTTTGCTGCACCAGTCCGAAGGCATACAGGTCTCAAGCTCGCCGTCCCGCCATGCCGCAATATACACAAAGCCAGATCGCCCGGCTGCCAGTCCACAAATTGTGGGAGGCGGTCGGGGAGTTTGGCATGGCCGTGCCCGATCATATCCTGGCCTTGGAACTCCGCGTGTGATCAGTGCACGAAAGATGGCAGGTGTTTACCAAATAATCTAAAGTGTTTCCTGCCGTGCCCCTCAATCTGTGTTACGTCTGGTCTAATGAGGATTCCCTTTCAGGTATGCTTGTGTCAGCAACTCCCTCTCTTCCTCCTGCTCCCGCTCCTGCTGATGCTGATGCTCCTCCTGCTGCTGCTGCTGCTGCCGCTGCTGCCTCTGGTACTGCTGCTGCTGCTACTGCTGTTGCTGCTACTACTACTACTACTACTACTGCTACTACTACTGCTGCTAGTAGTATCACGTTGAGAATTACAATTGATATCGATCATACTTGAACTGCTGCTACTGTTGATCTTTTTGAATAGTCCCT